TGTCTGAATGAAACGTAATTGTACACCTAACCCTTAACTGTACCCCACAAAACTATAATAAAAATACTGATTAATTATTAAAAAAAGAAAAAAAAATTTTAAAAAGTGGGCAAAAGATATGAATAGACACTTCTCAAAAGAAAATATATGGGCAGCAACAGACACATGAAAAAGTGTTCAGCCTCATCATCAGAGAAATACAAATCAAAACCACATTGAGATAACACCTAACCCCAGTAAGAATGGTCATCATTAATAAAACAAACAACAACAGATGCTGGCGAGGATGTGGAGAAAAAGGATGCTTCTACACTGCTGGTGGGAATGCAAACTAGTGAAATCTCTTTGGAAGACAGTATGGTGGTATCTGAAAGAACTAGAAATTGACCTTCTATATAACTCAGCAATTCCCCTGTTGGGAATATACCTGGAGGAACTCAAATCATTCTACAAAAAAAGATAATCTGCATACGTATGTTTGTTGCAGCTCTATTCACAATAGCAAAAACATGGAACCAACCATGTTGCTCATTGAAGTTGGACTGGATAGTAAAAATGTGGTATATACACACAGTGGAATATTATGCAGCCATAAAGAAGGACAACCATATGGACTTTGCAGCAAGTTGGATGGATTTAGAGTCGATCACTTTCAGTCATCTATCATCGAAACAAAGTACAGAGTACCATATGTTCTCACTCATAAGCGGACCTTGAACAATTATCGTAATACTATAAGAAAGGGATTGGCAGTAGTGGGAAACTGTCAGGGGAGAGGGGGTGGGATTGGCAGTTGAGGGAAACTGCTAGAGGAAGAAGGGGCATAGCTCACCAACAAGGGTACCTGCATAATCAACGTTTGTATACCTAACCCTGAATTAAACCCCACATCTTTATAATTTAAAAAAAAAAAGAAAAAGATTGCTAGTAATGGGAACCTGCAGGGGGTGGAGGGCAGGGAGGTGGGATTGACTGTATTGGCAATCTGCCTGGGGAAGAGGGAGCACACCTCATCAACAAGGCTACCTGCATAACTAATATTTGTATACCTAACCTCTGAATTGTACCCCACATCTTTAAAATAAAAAATTTAAAAGTTTTTTTTAAAAAAGAAGTAAAGCAGCTTGTTTTATTTTTATAATTAAATTTTAGATTTACTTGCAACAAGCTACAGCTCCATGTATTTAGTGAGTTATATCATCTTCTTCAGGTTTTCTTGCTAATTACATAATTTTTTTGTAAATCATGGGGTTTTTTGGATGATTGATTAAGTCTGTGTGTATATTAAAACAATAACAGAAATTCTATTTTGTTTTATTTTATTTCATTTTATTATTATTTTTGAGTTGGAGTCTCGCTCTCTCTCCCAGACTGGAGTGCAGTGGCATGCTCCTGGCCACCGCAGCCTCGACCTGCTGGGCTCCAGCTATCCTTCCGCCTCAGCCTTCCAAGTAGCCGGAACTAGAGGCATGTGCTACCACACCCAGCTAATTTTTGATTTATTGTAGAGACGAGGTTTCGCCAAGTTGCCTGGGTGGGTTTCAAACTCACGGGCTCAGGCAACTCACTTGCCTCGGCCTCCCTAAGTGCTGGGATTATAGGCTGAGCCACTGAGCAGCCCAGAAATCCAATTTTAAATTATATTCTTAGTTAATGAATAAAATTATGCTTAAGTTTTTCCCTCAGATTTTCCTAAATAGAAAGCAAATTTATATTTTAAAAGACTTTTGATACTGAAAACAATTATATTACTTTCAACATAACATAACATAACTCAACTATTTGGGCCTTTCTTTTATATGTTTTTGATAACCAGTCATTAATTGTTAAATTTTGGCATTTTTTTCAAATAGGTCGGATAATTTCATAAAGATCCAAATGTTTTTCATGTCAAGGTCTCCAAGGTAAATGACAATTACTGATCTGAATAAAATAGATGAAAAGGGAAGAAAAAGCATTTAGATAAAATCCTTTATGTGTTGTAGTAAATACTTCCATATGTGCCTTGTGGACACAGAAGAAACTCTCATCACAGCCTTAGTCATCAGGGCACATTCCTGATACAGGGATCATGAAGGGCAATATGAAGATAGGAGTACAGGGCCAAAGCAGGTAGGAAAGGAGAACAACTCTGGAAGGTCATGGAGATGTGGGAGAAAACAGATCTTCAGAGAGCAACTACATCATAGAGCGTTGAGAAGAGAGGCCAAACAGTCAGAGGCCAGGTCACAAAATCCCTGGAAAGAAGTTTATTTTTTGACTTGAAATTTATGAAGGGGCACGGGATAATTTTAAGTTGAAAATTGGTGGTAGTCTTTGCATTTTAGAAATGTCACTGCTTTAGGTAAATAAAAGTTTTTTATAGTGGAGAGAGGTAAGACCTGATGATAGACTTGTTTTGAAGTTAGCACAGAGAATTTACTGAACAATGCAAAAGGATGTAGAAGCAGGCTACACAGAAGTTTTAACAAAAACTTTGAACAATTTGAATTGTTAATCACATGCTTACATACATTCAGCTTCTCTGAATTTATTTACATTTATTTACCTTAGCCTAAATATTTGGTAAGTCATACTGGCAATGAGGGAAAAATGCTAGCACAATTGAGGAGGCAGTTTGAAGAGGCAGATTGATAGACAGATTTATTTTACTTTGTAATAAATATTCCTTGTTTTAATCCTAACCACATAAAAATTATAATATTTAGTTTCATTAATACTATTTACTTTTTAATGAAAGGTAGGCAACAATTTATGACTTTAACAGAAAGTAAAGATGACAAACACTAGCAAAATTAACTTGTGTTGAGGGTCCATATGGATTTTTCCCCCAGAAGACTTACTGAAAGAGGACATGCCATTCTCTAATTGAAGCTGAGGGACTGAACTCTCTGAGAGGATATAGGACTTAAGGTCCATGATACTGTGAGTTGAGCATGTCTTTGGAAATGTTAGTCATTTGGACTATCTGAGTATCTGCTTCTGAATCTTTTCTAGAAGAGAGGGAAAGGTTGTGATACAGCTCGGAGTCAGAGAGTGATTATTATATTCCAGAGTGCAAATAACTCAGAATTTATTTGAGGAATCTGTACTTTGACCACTACCTGTGAGTATGACAAGTATAACATGTTCTTTCTTCTTTTCTTGTATTGAAAATCTGCTATATTCTCTACCAACTTTACATGGCATACACACACACACACACACACACACACACACACACACACATGTGGGAATCCTAATTCTCTGCAACAAGTGTATATCAAAATATCGATACTTCTAAATGAATGCCAAATACAGTCTTATTCATATAGTCAACATGAAGAAAAGTAACATTTTTTTGTTCCTTCATTTTCAAAATTGGATTGTGTCACAATATCATGAAATTGCAAAATCCTCACATTACTAGAATTCTTTCAATCACTCTATGTGTATTTATGTCATTTATTAATGGAAAATGAATTTAAAAAAACTGGAAAATAATGACAAAGACATTTTATTGTTTCAAGTTTTGTTATTTGGAAATTTAGAAGAATTTTGATGGCAGTGATGTATGCTAGGCAGAAATAAAAATATGCCTTGCTTTGGATTAAGGACAAAAAAATAATAAATGTGTGGTGATGTTCACAATAAACACAGTAAAATGATTTGATCATCATATAACATGTAAATGTATCAAAATGTAAAATTATACCCCATAAATATGCATAATTTTAATGTTTCAATTTAAAAAAATTAAAAATACATACAAAAACAAGCACACACAAAAAACCCTAACTCCCTTTCCCACACAGAACTGGGAGAAACAAAATTATTCTCAAAAGAGAAGTAAATGTCCTGTTCTTAGGAAAATATTTCAATGAGTTTTTATAAGATAAAACATCAAGGCTTAGTCTGAGATGAGAAAGTTAAAATGTGGGGTGTCAAACCCTTCTTTGAATTCAGGTGCATAGGTGTCCCCAGTGGGTAATATTGATGTCATATAGTCTTTCACTTGGCTGGGGGTAGAAAGGTAGAGGAAAACATGAGGATGGGAATTTTATCGCTGAAGAGAATACCAACCTGGAGCCACATCAGACTAATATGGGAATTCCTGTGGTCAGGAATGGGTGCAAATTTCAGCAACAGAGATGTATACTTATTTTTCTCCTAGGTTCTCTATTGCCTGTATATATGGGTAAGTTAGCAATCTCTTATGAACTTGAGTGCTCTTGTCTGTAAAATTTTAAACAATAGTGATTTAAGTAGTACTCTGTGAAGGTTGTATGAGGAAAAAAAAGTGAAAGCAATGGACCAAGTCACACAATTTACTGTGATTAAAAGGAGGTAACTAAAGATTAGAGAGGTCTTACAGATTGTATAAACTGCTCAGTATGCATTTGAAAACTGAATCAATGAATAAGCTTCTATTCTCTGGAACTTCCAGATAAGGCCAATTATCCAGGATGGTGTGGGAAAACCAGACCTTTAACTCCATCTTCATCCTGCTGGGAATCTTTGATCACAGCCCCACCCACACTTTCCTCTTCTCTCTGGTCCTGGTCATTTTCGTAGTGGCCCTCATGGGGAACTCAGCCATGGTTCTCGTCATCTACATGGACACTCAGCTCCACACCCCCATGTACTTCCTCCTCAGTCAGCTGTCCCTCATGGACCTCATGCTCATCTGCACCACTGTACCCAAGATGGCCTTCAACTACCTGTCTGGCAACAAGTCCATCTCCCTGGCAGGTTGTGGAACCCAGATATTCTTCTATGTGTCCTTGCTCGGAGCTGAATGCTTCTTGTTGGCAGTCATGGCGTATGACCGCTATGTGGCTATATGTCACCCTCTGCGGTACACCATCCTCATTAATCAGAAACTCTGTGTCTTCATGATTGTTGCTTCCTGGATCTTAGGCTCTCTTGATGGTGTCATTGTACTTGCAGCTGCCCTGTTATTCTCTTATTGCAGCTCTCTGGAAATTCATCACTTTTTCTGTGATGTTGCTGCCCTTCTACCTCTATCCTGCACAGACACATCTTCATTTGAAAAACTGCTTTTTATTTGCTGCGTGGTGATGTTAATTTTCCCAGTGTTGGTTATCATCCTTTCCTATTCCCGTGTCCTGAGAGCCATCATCCTCTTGGGCTCTGGGAAAAGTCGTCACAAAGCCTTCACCACTTGCTCCTCTCACCTGTCTGTGGTTGGACTCTACTATGGTGCTGCCATGTTCATGTACATGAGACCAGCATCTAACCATACCCTGGACCAGGACAAGATGGTGTCAGCCTTCTATACCATTCTCACCCCCATGCTGAACCCCCTCATTTACAGTCTTCGCAACAAAGAGGTAACCAGGGCACTCAAGAAGCTGTTGAGGTTAGCAAAGTTAATATAATTTTATGAAAAATATTTCAAGCACTCACTCTGGTCAACACTCCTTTACAGAAAATGGAATCTATTTCTGCAAGTTGGCTTTTTCACACGTTTTTTTTCAAATTTAAAATATCTCTAGTTTTTTTTTTAATATATATTTCATTTGTATGCTATGTTGATTTGGACATTAGCGTAAGCCTCTTTATTCCTATGATTTCAGCTGTTAGCCATGAGTGGTACTTTAGGATGCTTGCTTTTGAAGCCAGCTATATGTCTGAAGGTTCTTTGCTGTATTAAAGAACAAGGGTTGAAGTTGATCCTCTGCTTTTGGAGAGATGCTGCTTTGTTCATCAATTACATGCCTGTCAGTATTTGTTTTCAGTTTTACTGATCTTCAAATCCAGTATCAACTGTTTAAATCTTAATTTTTTTCCATTTAACTTCTAAGCATTTAGAAGTGAGGAGTTAACGTCAACACTTTCTTCAATGAAGGTTTTTTGTTTTTGTTTTTGTTTTGAGGTAGAGTCTCGGTCTTGTCACCCAGGCTGGAGTGCAGTGGCATGCTCACGGCCACCGCATCCTTGACCTGCTAGACTTAGGAGATACTTCCTCCTCAGCCTTCCAAGTAACTGAAACTACAGATGCACGCCACCACACCTGTCTAGTTTTTGTGATTTATTGTAGAGATAAGGTCTCACCAAGTTGCCCTGGCTGATCCCGAACCCCTGGGATTAGGCAAACCTCTCTCCTTGGCTTCCCAAAGTGCTGGAATTACAGGTTGAGCTACTGTGCCTGACCTTCTTCAATGAAGTTTTATGCCTAAATAAAATATTGCTTAGAAATTCATACACCTATGTTACTTTTGTGTTAATAAAAGTAAATATTTTAATGAGTCTAGATAAAATATCTATTTGGTTTGGCTATACAATCATCATCGTTGTCATGATTGCTTTTATTCCTCACTCATCCTTATGCTAATAATCAGAATCTCTATGGAGAATTTAGAGAAATATTAGTACCTGAAATGGCTAACCATGATTTTTTAATATAAGTCTGAAAAAAATAATTTTCTACAAATGATTTCACAAAACTCCCAAAAGTTATCTTGAAGAAGGTTTATGGTTGCTAAGTTTGTCCACACCAATTTATTTGCTATGTATACTTTATTTTAAAGATGTGGGGTACAATTCAGGATTCAGTATAAAAGTGAACATTAGACAGGTAAAGTTTAGGCCTCCCTTTGGTCTCCACTTTGCCTGGTTTGAGATCAGGTACCTTTGTTGATGTTGTGTTCCTCCCCACCCCACTCCGGCAGTATCCAGCTACTTCCAATTCCTTTCTTATAGTATTGTGGTAAATGTTCAGGGCCCACTTATGAGTGAGAACATGTGGTACTCTGTTCTTTGTTTCTGTGATAGATCAATGAGTATTATTTAATTGAAGTTGCTGTGAAGTACATATGCTTGTCCTTCTTTATGGCTGTGTAATATTCTATTGTGTATATGTACCACATTTTTAAAATCAAGTCCAGTTTCGATGAGCAGCATGGCTGGTTCCATGTTTTTGCTATTGTGAATAGTGCTGCAATAAACATGTGTGCAGGTATCTTTTTTGTCGGATGATTTGAGTTCCTCTGGGTATACTCCCAGTAGAGGGATTGCTGAATCATATGGAAGGTCAATTTCTAGTTCTTTTAGAAATTGCCACACTGTTTTCCATAGAGGCTGAATTAGTTTGCATTTCCACCAGCAGTGTAGAAGTGTTCCCTTTTCTCTGCATCCTCACCAGCATCTGTTGTTGTTTGTTTTATTAATGATAGTCATTCTTACTGGGGTTAGGTGTTATCTCAATGTGGTTTTGGTTGGCATTTCTCTGATGATGAGTGAGGCTGAGTACGTTTTCATGTGTCTATTGACTGCCTGTATATCTTCTTTTGAGAAGTGTTTATTCATGTCTTTTGCCCACTTTTTAATGGGGCTGTTTGTTGTTGTTGTTGTTTTTTTTTTTTAACACATTTGAATTCCTTGGAGATCCTGGATGTTAGGTTTTTGTCAGATATATAGTTGGCCAATATTTTTTCCATTCTGTGGGCCATCTACTCCTGATTTTTTTTTTTTTTTTTTTTTTGCTTTGCAGAAGATTTTCAATTTAATGAAGTCTCACTTGTCTATCTTTACTCTTATAACACCTAGAGTTTAGACCAGGAATTGGCTGCCTACTATGATTTATGTAAGAGTGTCTCTGCATTTTCTAAGATTCTTATAGTCTGAGGTTTTATGTTTAGGTCTTTGATCCATTTAGCATTGACTTTTGTGCATGGTGTTAGGTAGGGGTCCTGTTTCAATCTTCTGCTTGTTTTCCAAGCCAGTTTTTCAAGCACCATTTACTGAATAGCTTCTCCTCTCCCTAGTGGTGATTAGTGGATGTTTTGTCGAAGATGAATTGACTGAGAAATTGAAGTTTTTCTTCCAGAATCTCTATCTTGTTCCATTGGTCCATATGCCTGTCTTTGTACTAATACCAGGCTGTTTTGATTATTGTAGCCTCATAGTGAAGTTTAAGGTCTGGAGGTGTGATACCCCCCACGTTATTTCTTTTGCTAAGGATTGTTTTGGCCATTCGTGGTCATTTATGTTGCCAAATGAATTTCTGTATTGTGATTTCCAGGTCTGAGAAGGAGGATATTGGTTATTTAATGGATATTGTATTGAATTTGTAGATTGCCTCTGGTAGGATGAACATCTTAACAATGTTGATTCTTCCTATTCATGAGCATGGAATATTTTTCCATTTGTTTGTGTCTTCTTGGATTTCTTTGAGCAGTGTTGTGTAGTTTTCATTGTAAATGTCTTTCACTTCTTTGGTTAGGAAGATGCTGAGGTATTTCACTTGTGTGTGTGGCTATTGTGAATGGAATTATGTTTTTTATTTGGTTCTCTGTCTTTGTTGTTGGTGTATAAGAACTAACCTGTTTTTTGGACATTTATTTTGTACCCTGAAACTTTGCCAAAGTCCTTTATCCTTGCAAGGAGGTTTTTGACAGATTCTCTTGGATTTTTCAAGGTATAGGATCATATCATTAGCAAAGTGGGAGAACTTAAAATTTTCTTTTCCTGTTTGGATACCCCTGATTTCCTTCTCTTGTCTAATCACACCAATTGTTTTAATGTTCACACTTTGATAAAAGTTTGATGAACCTCAACTGTTATTAATTGACTATAATCTGCATATCTAAATCCTCTACATCTTGAGAATTGAAGGCAAGCCTTTCATGCTTCATAGAAGCTATCTTGATTTCTATGTATATTTTTAATTAAATGTTTATTGTCATATTTTATTTTTTCTAAATGCATTTTTTAACTAACCCTGTTTTTTTGTTTGTTTGTTTTGCTTTAATTACATGACCATGGGTTATAATCTGTTGGATCTCTTAGGGCACTACAAAATATTTTGGGACAAGCAAAACATCCTTAATACTTTTTTAAAGATACAATTTATATGCCATAACATTTTAAGGTGCACAGTACAGTGGATTTTAGTATATTCACAGATTTGTGTGACTATTCAACACTAATTGCATCTCTATCTTTAACTTATTGAGAAGCTTCAAAACTGTTTTCCAGTGGTTATAAAATTTTGCATTTCCATCACCAGTGTAGGAGGGTTTCAATTTTTCCACATTCTAGCCAACTCTATTTTTCTATTTTTTTAGATTATACCATTTTATTGACTATGATGTTGTATCCCATTGTGGTTTTAACTTGTATTTTCTGAATGACTAAAGGCACTGAATATTTTTTCATTTTCTTAGTGGTCATTTGTATATCTCCTTGGAAAAAATGTCTTCCCAGATCCACTTCAGTTGGATTATTTGTCTTTTTGTTGTTGAGTTGTTAGAGTTCTTTATATCTTCTGAACACTAGACCCTTATCTGATAGATGATTTGCAAGTATTTTCTCCTATTCACTGAAATATTCTTTCACTATACTAATGTTATCCTTTGAATAATGTAAGCTTATAGTTTTAATTAACTCCAATTTATGTTTTGTTTCTAAATTCTTATGGTTTGTGTGTAATAGCTGGGAAATTATTTTCTAATCCGAGGTCAGAAAATTTTATGTCCTATCTTTTAAGAGTATTCTAGTTTGAATTCTTATATTTATTTCATTGATCCATTTTGACCTAATTTTTGTATAAGGTGTGAGGTAGGTGTTCAACTTCCAACACCATTTATTGAAAAACCTAAGTTTTCCCTATTGAATTGTTTTTATAATTTTGTCAACAATTATTTGATCCTAGTGTGTGTATTTATTTCTGAACTCTTGAGTTCTATGTCATGGATCTACATATCTATCTTATGTTAATATAGTAAGTTTGAATTCAAGAAGTATGAGATTTCCAACTTTGTTATTCTTGACTATCTGCTTCAACAATATTGGAATCTCTTAAATTTCCATGCAAATACTAGAATCGGCTTGTCAATTTTTTTTTTTTAAATGACAACATGGATTTTCATAGGAATGGTGTTCCATCTATAGATCAATTTGAGGTGTATTTCCTTTTTAACACTATTCATAGATACAGGATATCTTTGCATTTATTTATTTATTTCAGTAATTCTTTCTTTGAATATTTTATAGTTTGGGATGTACAATCTATCATTTTATTATTTAAATTTATTTCTAATATTTTATTCTTTTTGATGTTATCATAAATGGATTTGTTTTTCTGATTTCATTTTCTAATTGCTCATTGCTAGTGTCAATATGTTATTTTTGCAAATTATCCTATATGTATTGACATTTCTGTCTTCTGTTTGATTATTTCTCTGCCTTTTTTTATGTACATGTATATTTTTATGATCAACTTTATGAAGACAATTTCTTACATAAATATATAATTCAATGTTGACTCATCATTAGTTACTATTTCAAATCTATATTTTTACTGCTTATGTCTATGAAGTCACATGAAAGGCTCTCCTGGGGAATCCTGATTTGGATGAATTGAGATACCATTCTT